GCCCTCCGGCGGTCACAATCAGGAACTACAGCCCATATATGGGAAGCTGCGCCGGCCACTTCCGGTGAAAACCTTCAAAATACATCCCTGAACAAACTAAAACAATTAACACTGCATGAAGATAAATTACATAATTGCGTTCTGTTGTTCATAGTCGGAGAGTAAAAGTCCACATTCTTCATTAAAACCGAGGAGTTGTTGTGTTTTTAAACTTAAAAAACAACATTTTCACAACGTATCGTGGAAACTCCCACGGCCCCTGAAGGCATCATCCCTCAACGTCACCCGGAACCCGGAAGTGTGTCGCTTGTTGTGAGTTGTCGCGGTCGTCGTCGCTGCTCCTCTTCCTCTTCCTCTTCCTCCTGGCTCTAATGGCGAGCTCCACGGCTCCGGGTCGGACCGGACCGGGACTCTGGTACCCGGGGCTGCTCCTGCTGCTGCTGTCCGGGCAGAGCGGGCCGGTCGGTGCCGTGTCCGAACCCGGGAAATGGATCCAGAAGATCGACAGCGTGAGTTTCCGGTTCGCTCAGCTGTTGTTTGTTTGTTTGTTTGTTTGTTTGTTTTTTTACAATATGTCTCATTAAAATGATTTTATCGTGGTTTCAGAGGCTCAACGGAACCGACACACTGCGGCTGCGCAGAGCTATGTAAACAATGACAGTTTGATAAAGATTGATTATTGATTGATTATTGATTGGTTATTGATTGGTTATTGGTTAACTCTGCTCTCCTGATGAATTAATGAATCACAATAATATGAAATATATTCTAATAATCAATGTTAATCTCTCTGCTTCTGACTTATTGATTAAAGATTGAATCAATTATAAGATAATTCTCCTTTTAATCAATAACATTATAGAATCTAAAATCAGGTCGTATTGTCTTTACTCTGAATGATAATAACCATGAATTAAAGTGAGTTTACTGTCTGATCAATAAATATGGATTATGAACTCGTGCTTTATGTTCTGGAGCTCTTTTAGTGTTTTTATTCTTCTTATTTATCGAGCTTTAACGTTTATATCTTAAATCTTTTACTGAGGGACAGAATTTAAATTGATCCGTTAAAGTCAGTCAACCTTTTATTTACACACTGCGGTCAAACGAGATGTGATTGATTCTCAGAGTCACCGACAGAAACTCTCCGATACGGAAAACAAACAAACATTATTCAGAATATATCAGTCGGTCTGACTCAAACTGTAACACCTTCCTCCTCCCCCCCCCTCCTCCTCCTCCTCCTCTTTCCTCTCTTCTCAGAAACCGTTGTCATCATTTCATCCGAGGCTGAGCAGGAACCTCTTTGTATTCGTGTGCAAACAGAGAGTCATTGAATGTCTCACAACGCCGGGATTTGATCTGTTTGTCTCTAACAAACTCGGCACTGTATTAACAGACCTCCGTTTCTATGACGACAGCCACCGGACGTCGGCCGTAAATGTTCCTGTTACGACATCTGATGTTCACGTTAAACAGTTGGAGGATCCAGAAAGTGTAAATGTTATAAATCGGATTAATGTCACACAAACAAACTAATGATCGGAAATAATCGATCGTTATACGGAAGGTTAAACGTCCTGGCGAAGTCATTCTGGGCTTTGTTGTTTTGCAGCCTTTATAAATATTGTTTAGATATCTAAACTCTTCTTTAATCACAGTTTTAATCGCCAACTAAACGTAAAGGAATCAGTTTATTGGAGGAAAACTGCACACCTAGAAGCATAAATAGAATAATTAACAATAATAAATGAATAAATAAACAATATGTACGATACTTTCCTCGACCGCGGTTATATAATAATACAACTTTCATTCAATCTTTAATATATTCTTCCAGCGAGTGCTTTTATAGTCTCATCTCTTTGTTTGTTTGTTTGTTTGTTTGTTTGTTTGTTTGTTGCAGGAGATTCTGAAGAAGCAGAACTTCTTCTACTTCACCAAAACTCTGTTCAACAGCAGCTTCATCCACCTCAAACGTAAGCAGACCGTCCTTAAATCAACTCTTCCGGTCGGTCTGAGAGCGGCTGATTTGATTCATGTTGTTGTTGTTGTTGTTGTTGTTTGTGTTGTTGATTGTTTTCTTCCCCCTTTTGGTCAGTGGTGTCAGAGACGTGTAACGGTTCGTTTCCCGTCCAGCTCAACGTGTCCTGGTATCTGAGGAACTCGCACTGCTACGATGAAGTCTTCAGCCACGACGTGAGACTCACTGTTTTCTCCTCCTGAGGCGTTCAGGGTCCACATTTTATTTACAGCTCTGTAAAGACCAGACTCCATTTAAAAAAACACTCATTTTACCAAGTAGATAAAACTGAAACAAAATGAAACTCTAATGTTAGCCGTTATTGATCTTCTATTGATCTGTGAATAAATAACTCCCTCGCATTGTTTGTTTGTTTGTTTGTTTGTTTGTTTGTTTGTTCGTCTCCAGACATTGAAGGCGGAGGGAGGTTACTTCAGGTCGACGAAGGTCATACCAGGAGGAGGAAGTGGATATTACGTCTTCCACCAGTATCCTGCCATCACCTGCCAGCCGCAAATCAACCCCAACACGGTCCGACACACACACACACACACACACACACACACACACACACACACACACACACACACGGTGCAAACCAATGATGATAAAGTGACTGAATGTGTCTGAATTGTTTTATGACACAGTTCGGCCTGGATGTCTTTGAGACGAGAACACGTCTGACGGAGCTGCCGCCGCAGCAGCAGGTGAGAGATTTTAGGTTTTTAATAATGTAAGAGCTTCACTGTCTCCATTTCCAACTCAAGGAGGATAAAATACTCACATTTGACTTATTTATTTGGCTCAAATCACAATAGACAATTAAAAGAGGAGCCGTTTGCTGTTAATAAGTAATGTAGTGGTCACATCTGGCCTTTTAATCTGGTTTACAGCGGTGGTTTGAGCCCATAATAAACAGATTAATGTTAATAAACAGATCAAAATGATGCTGAAATAACGACATCGTGATGCTGATTTGTAAAAAGCTTAAATTCACACTTTGTCCGGTCTGTGTGTAAAACGACGAGCAGACGACTTTTAAAATGCTCGTTTTCTGAATGGAGTTTGGTTGATCGAGGCTGTACTTAGTTTGTAGATTGTAGTTTCTTCTGTCTTCAGTCGACTGTTTGTGTTTCAGCCAACCACAGCGAAGGCTTCAAGCAGGGAGAGGAGAGAGCTGAACCCTCCAGAACCAAAGGTATGCAATAAAATATATAAAATATTCAGTTTAACACGAGTTATGTTCACTCTCTGATAAACAGGTTATGGTTTTATATATATTTTTTATCATTTTAAACAATCATACAGACTTAATAAGTGTTCAGTGTTTCCTCCTCATTGTTCTATCAGCTCTTTGGTTGTTTTCTATTGCAGGACGAGGCTGATTTATCAGAGTTAAACAATAAAAAAAAGAATAGTTTTCTTCACATTAATGAACCAAATGTTGAGATTTAGAATTGCTGTGTACGTTTTCTGACCCCCTGTGAAGCTTTGGCGTCCCCTAGTGGAGCCTGTTTAAATATACATTAAACCACTTTTACCAAATCCCAGTAAAACACACACAGGAAGGCTTTCATTGTAGAGCATGCACTAGAATATGCAGAGGTCAGTTCTCTTATAGTCCTGTGTTTGTTTTATGAACAAGAACTCATGTTTTTGTTTTGTTCTTCACTAATTTGAGATGTTTAATGATTTTCTGTCTCTCTCTCTCTCTCTCTGTGTCTCAGGCTGCTGCAGTAAAGGAGGAAGGAGCTTCAGCAGAAACAGGAGGAGCTGCTGATCATCGTAAAGAGGTCAGTCTGTCCGATGGATTAGTTAAACCTGCTTATAGAGGCGCTGCAGGGATGACTGAAGTTAGCAATCGCCCTCGTTCTCTCGACAAAAAGCCAGTGGGATCTTCACGAATGAAATCCACTTTTATGTTTTCGAAGTGCGAGCAAACACAACGCGAGGCTATAAATTAACTATTAAACTTCCAACTTGTAATTAAAACCTAAAATCTACATTATTTACTCGATTAGTGAGCAGATAAGTCTCAGTGTGCTGATGTTTAAGGCCCTGACACACCGGTGAACGTCCGACTCTCTCTCGTTGAGAGAAATCACTCTGATTGGCTGAATCAGTGCACGAGAAGAGCAAACAACTTCTTCTCCTCTTCATCTGATCTGATCACAAATATTTTAACAACAAGCAGCTGTTTTATAGAACCTCCATCGGGATGTTTAGGTCTTTTTCTGAATGACGAACGCAGTCTACCGCCACCTGCTGTACGTGCTTATATCCAAGACTCAGGCGACTTCGGCTTTTGTGTGTCAGAGCCTTTAAAGCTCACCGACAACCTCTGTAGTCTAGTTAGCAACCGAATCAGAATTAACAGCATAAATAAACAGAACAAGATCAACAAAATCTGATATTTTAAGATACGTCAAAGCTTCAGAATTCACAGGTGGATTATTTACTGATGTATTTTATAGAATAAAGAGTGAAAATCTCTTAAAACCACAGACTTTATTTCAGGCATCTAACCATAAAACCCACTGAGTTAGAGGAGACAACTGGACATGTTCAAATGTTAACTCAGTTCTCTATTAGCACTCAAATGATGTCTTCACACAGCGCTGTAGGACAAATAGTGCCTCCTTGTACAGATATCTGAGTTACATTTTGATATAAAACACATGGGTATATAATGTCAAAGCCCCTTTAAAGGTGAATTTTAGAAGATATATAAAACTTCTTATGGACTTTTTAGGAAATACAGTAAAAAGGGAATTTCAGTAAAGGAATAAAATATGGATCAGGGGCAAGAAAACTTGATCAGAACGTCTCCTTTTAAAAACAATAAACGGCCTTTAAGCCACAAACGAGACGGGTTCTTTACATTTCTGTTCAGACTCTCGTGTCTCGTTCCCTCAGGTTGCTTCTCATCATCACTTCGACGCGGTGGCCGAGAGCTGGGAGGACGGACCCTACATGTTCATCCTGCACATCCGAGAAATCAAAGACAAGAGCCGAGTCCCCGACCCCGCGGCGGCGGCAGCAGCGGCCGCAACTTCGCCCTGGAGTCTACAGCGTCAGTCACACTCTCACACACAGACTGTAAACCATTAACTATTAGTGATCTCCTCTGTTCACACAATCAGGGATAATGTACAGCGAGAGGGTCATTATAGCAGAATAAACAGGGCCTATGAAACGGAGGTGAAGGCGTATATTTCACAATAACGACCCAACTCGCTGCACATTATCCCGCTTATTACACGGCTACTTAAAGAAATCAGTAATGTGACACAAAATATTGATTTAGAAATGATTTAATAATCTATTTTTGAGTATTCAACAAAGCAATGTTGTAAAATACTTTCAACATTGACTGTTTTCTGACATTTAAAATGTTTTATGCAACTTTCACCACAAAGTAGAGCTGGACAGTGCGCTCGTAAGGCCTTTGCACACCAAAACGAGTCATCACACAATGAGGGTGATTTTGTAGAAAAGTAGAAAAAAGAAAAAGGAAATATTGAGTCCAGTGTGTGAAGAACGAGGAGAGTTTCACCTGCTGATAAAGCAGCTGTCTCTCTCTCTAATTTCCTTCCTCGTTTCTCTCCACTCGAGGTTCCTCTGTCTGCATCTCGGTGTGCAAAGGTCTTTATTCGACAGTAACATTAGTGAGAGTGAAAGTTAATTCTAAGCTGACATACGGTACCGAGAGCAGCTGCTGTGATCCTGGTCCTGAGACTCAGGTCTGGACTTGATGTTCCTCTCAGACGTGTCACTGTTGTTCTAGTTGTTTAGAGTCTGAATGTAGAAAACGAGTCGATCTGAAACGATCTGTGTCTGTCTGTGTCTGCAGTGCAGATCAGCATGAAGGGTCCTCATGACTACATCTCCGCCTCTGAATGGCCTCTGATGGTGGTAAGAACACACACACACACACACACACACACACACACACAGAATATATATAAAAGATATTTATTGATTCAGAGTTTGTGCAAAGGTTTGAAAGTTCATCTTAACCGGATATGCTTGAATATGAATGTACTTGTCGTTTCCCGGTGCGTTCACTCCTCATTCGTAGCCTTACTCTGGGAATCACAGCCAGCTTTAATTAATCCTGATCGAAACATACAAAGTAAACAAAATAAACACATATACATTGATTTGTTGTGGGTATAAAGGAATTCTGTAAACTTGCAACTAGAATTTATATTAATAATTCAGATGTGATGATAAAGTCTTGACATCCAACATCCAACCTTCAGCTTTTTAAAGGATAAATCTGTCAGCAAATCTCATAAAAAGACTAAAATCAACAATGTGTTTGTCCTGTTCTCAATACTTTCTGACTTCCTGTGGCTCAAACACAAGACTAAAATATTAAAAACAACTAATATATAGTTTAATTATTTTAAAAAAGCTCAGTAATTTCTTAAAACAGCTTCACATTGTAGTTTTTAGTGAATGTTACTCAATATCAGGGGAAGCTAAACGTTGGTATAAGGTTAAAAAAATTATAATATACATTTCTGTTTATGTAGTTTTGTTTTTTATGAGGTAAAAAAAAGTTATTTATGTCTCAATTATTGATTATTTTACATAATCTGAGTGCTTAAGAATCTGTTCTATGTCCAGTTCTACATGGTGATGTGCATCGTGTACGTGCTGCTCGCCGTGCTGTGGTTGCTTCTGTCGGCGTGTTACTGGAGGGACCTGCTCAGGATCCAGTTCTGGATCGGCGGCGTCATCTTCCTCGGCATGTTGGAGAAAGCCGTCTACTACGCCGAGTTCCAGAGCATCAGATACGACGGCCTGTCAGGTAGGCGGCGACACGGAGACACGGAGGCGATTTTGTTTCTCCGGACTGAGCGAATCGACAGATAATGATGTAATGATGTCGTCCTGCAGTCCACGGGGCGGTGGTGTTTGCCGAGGTGCTCTCTGGGGTGAAGAGGACTCTGGCCCGAGTGTTGGTGATCATCGCCAGTCTGGGATACGGCATCGTCAAGTGAGTCTTTAATTTAAGTTTAATAATAAGGTCAAGGACCAACTGTAGATCATTTTCAGATCACGCCAGTGGTTCTCAAACGTTTTAACATGAATGTTCCATCTTTAATATATTGGCATTGAAGTTGCATTGAAGTTAGAGAAGAAAAACACCTAAATGTTTCAGTAAATTCATTGAAAACAATTTAAGATGGCGTTGAAGTTGCATTGAAGTTGCATTGAAGTTGCATTGAAGTTGTATTGAAGTTTTATTGAAGCTGCATTGAAGTTGCATTGAAGTTGTATTGAAGCTGCGTTGAAGTTGCATTGAAGTTCCTTTGAAGTTGCATTGAAATTCCTTTGAAGTTGTATTGAAGTTGCATTGAAGTTAAGAAAAACACCTAAATATTTTACTAAATTCATGAAAAACAAGCTAAGCCGGCGTTGAAGTTGCATTGAAGTTGCATTGAAGTTAAGAAGAAAAACACTTAAATGTTTCACTAAATTCATGGAAAACAAGCTAAGACGGCGTTGAAGTTGCGTTGAAAATTGCCTGTATTATCCAAAGCAGCGCACAAAAACACTTAAATTCTTCATTTAAGTTGCATTGAAGTTGCATTGAACTGCGTCTTTGTGATAAGTTACTTAACTAAACAAGTGAGGAACACGAGTTTGTGCTTCACGATCTTTTTCATCGTCTGTGGCAGAAACCGCTGAGATCGAACAGTTTTACAGACATTTTACTGCAGTTTACGATCGCATTGAAAATAGGAAATATTAAATATTATATATATATATAATGCGGTTAATCGAACTTACATTTACAGTTTTAATTGAACTTATAGTATGATTATTGTGGGAATTATGTATGACTGATTAATAAAAATAGAAAGAGCCCCCTGCAGTACTCCACAGTACCACTAGGGGTGCACGTACGCCCATTTGTGAAACACTGTTTTAGGCCATAAAATGTAAAATGGGGTTATCAGACAACATAACATTGCTTTTTTTACACAGACTTATGGTTTTGTTATGTGACGGGATCCTGTCTGTCTTTATCTGTCTGTCTGTCTGTCTGTCTGTCTGTCTGTCTTTATCTGTCTGTCTGTCCTCCAGGCCCAGACTCGGTGCGTTGCTCCACAGAGTCGTTGGCGTCGGTCTGCTCTACCTGATCTTCTCCATCTTCGAGGGGATCCTACGAGTCAACGCTGTAAGTCACGTGTGTGTGTGTGTGTGTGTGTGTGTGTGTGTGTGTGTGTGTGTAGTGTGTGTGTGTGTGTAGTGTGTGTATATGTGTCTAACCTGTCTCTCTCTCTAGCATCGAGGTGACAACAGCCTCACTAGATTTTTGTGTGACGTTGTTCTGGCCTTCACTGACTCCTGTATTGTCTGGTGGATATCCTTTAACATGTGCGCGCCACACACACACACACACACACACACACACACACACACACACACACACACACACACACACACACACACACACACACACACACACAGCAGCTTAACTCTTCCACAGACACTTCCTGTATATTTATTTCATTTGTAAGCACACAGTAATGTTTTCAGCTATTTTTTTATTTTTTACTTCAGTTAATTAAAATGTTTATTCATAGTTTTAATTTTTTGTTTTTTAACTATAATATCTTCACCTCACTTCACTCTCTCAAAGTAGCTGCTGACGTTTCACCTGCTGCCACTAGAGGGCGATAAGAGCTGTCTGTCTGTCTGTCTGTCTGTCTGTCTGTCTGTCTGTCTGTCTTTGGTGTTTGTGTCTATACAAAAAATGACCTTAAGCCCCACCCACCCGGTGCACCCAGTTGAGTGAAACAAACATTTTAGCATGAACTGCTGTTTGACCTTCCGTGTGTTACGCTGCATTTCTATCCGTCCCTCCTCTTCCTCCTCTTCCTCCTCCTCTTCCGTCGTACAGTCTTTCTTCCTCTTTTTTGCTTCTTTTTTTTTTTTTTACCCCGTTTTTACTCTTTCTTCTCCTGTTCACTCTTTTCTGTGTCTCTAGGCTGAAGATGATGTAGTTCTCCTGGCTGCTATCCCCCTGGCTGTGCTCGACTCTACCCTCTGCTGGTGGATATCCGCTACTGCACTTTACCCCCCCTCCTCCTCCTCTTCCTCCTTCCCCACTTTTTAGTACTACAGAAAGTTCTCTCGCTATCTTTCTTTCATTTTTCTGCTTCGTCCGTCTGTGTGTAGTCAGTGTCCAGCAGTTAATATCATGTAATTAACCATCTTTAATACGGGTTTTAGTTTATATTCATCATATAAAGTCACTAAGTCAGTCGGGGTATTATGTCTGGGATTGTAAAAATATCTGAGATGATGTTTCCTTGACCGCGTCCTCACATCTTCGTGAGTCTGGCTCAGACGATGAAGCTGCTGAGGCTGAGGAGGAACGTGGTGAAGCTCTCGCTCTACAGACACTTCACCAACACGCTCATCTTCGCCGTCATAGGTACCGACAGCGTCCGTTAGTTTCATATCTGCTGAAATGTATCTGCCTTTCTTCGTCCTTTTAAAAGTGTGTTTGTGTTGTTCTTCAGCGTCGGTCATCTTCATCATCTGGACCATCAAGACCATCAGGCTGTCTAAATGTCAGTCTGTAAGTACTTTAAGCTCCAGTGTTCAGCGTATGTGTGGCGTATATCTCAGCATTTCATTGACTTCTGTGAAGAAAAGTAAATGTAAAGTTAATTATCTAATAGAACAATAAGAAGAAAACCCTGAAGAAGTTTATTAAGTTTGTTTGATGGTTAAAACTATTAAAAAGTCCATAATACAGACAGAGAATTGTATAAAAAAGTTCCCTAAATAGGAAATAATCTGCTCCAAATTCATCCTAAACTCTGGTTTTACACAAACTTCCTGCAGTTACTGCGTTCACTGTTTTTAATATAATATAAAATATAGGACAGAAGGATATAAAATAAGGTTTAATTACGTTCAATTAAGGAAAAAGGTTGTGAAATGTTCCTTTTTTGTGCCACTAACCATTAAAACATGAATCCTGCTGATGATGTTAGAAGCGTTTCAGTGTGAATATAAAACATTTATATTTTTGATTCAGTCATACTTTAATTACTTTAAAAAAGGGATTTCGTCCCTTTTTGTTTGTATATTTCAGCACAAACACAACAGCTGTTGGTTTATTAATTTACATTATAACAAACGTGTTTCATCTTCATGTTTTTGTTGTTTTATTTTCTTTCTTTATTCTTAAAATACTTTCTGAGGTGTTTTCATTAAAGATGTGTTTCTGTCTGCAGGACTGGAGGGAGCTGTGGATCGTTGACGCGTTCTGGCGCTTCCTGTTCTCCACCATCCTATTGGTCATCATGTTCCTATGGCGACCGTCGGCCAATAACCAGAGGTGTGTGTGTGTGTGTGTGCGCGTTTGTGGGGGGGGGGTCAGAGTTGTGGTTGTTTAACAGTTTGTGTCTTTTTAAGAGTAAAGTAAAGCTTTATTTGTGTGTGTGTGTGTGTGTGTGTGTGTGTGTGTGTGTGTGTGTGTGTGTGTCAGGTACGCGTTCAGTCCTCTGCTGGATGAAGAGAGCGAGGAAGAGGAGAAGGAGCCGATGATGAACGAGGCTTTCGGTTAGAAACCTTCCTTTGTTTATTTGTTTATTTGTTTATTATTTATTATTTTACTGATTAAACAAAGAAATTAACTATAAAAACGTGATTAGTTCAAATTGCAGCTCGCTGTCAGTAAGTTGTTCTTTTGTATTTGTATTTATTTATATAAATATAATTAAGAGTAAACAACTTGTATGGACATAACAGTCAAATGTTCCCTTTAAATTATTCATAATAATCATATTTATAATATATAATATAATAAATATATAGCTGGAATAATAATGATAATAATAATAAATAAAAAGTAGCAATAATTCAAAATAGAGAAATATAAAAACAATGAAAATAAGTTAATTTATAACTACATTTATATTCATAAATACTAATATTATAAATAAATACACTGAAAAATATAAGTAGTAAAAGGTGTAATAAGCAAAAAATGTAGGATGATAAATGAAATAAAAAAAACAACAAAAAACTAAAATAAGTTAAAATAACGATTTATTTTACACAATTATTAGTAATAAATAATAAAAACACTGAAACATATAAGAACCCTCGGGTCTACAGGCAACAAGAGTGTTTTATTGTCATAAATTATCATATAATCATAAAATAAATCAATATATTTATATACACACATTAACATTTACTCGTGTTTTAAATTTGTGTCTAAGCAGCAGAAACAAGTTTATAATATATAACAATCAATGTACTGCAAATGTTCACCAGTCTCCTTCATTACTAATAATCAATATCTGTATCAGCCCTGAGAAGATCAATCGATCCCTACAAGAGTTTATAGTTAAAGGACGGATGAAACATCACCTGTTTGTGTGTTTGACTCCTCAGAGGGGATGAAGATGAGGGGCACGAAGAACGAGACCAACGGTTCGGTCAAAGCCAGCAAAGTGGTGAGTGAACGGCGGTGAAAACAACCTTTTATCTTCTTTTCCCCCCAAATTCATCAGAGCAGATGTATTTTATTTCAAACCTTTACTCTGAATGGGACCATCAGTTACTAAATGAACATCATGCTGTATGGAAGAAGACTGAAACTAGAGACTGAGACCATCAATCAACTGAGAAGTCGATTATTCCCCCTTTAATCCTGCTTACAACGGCAGTTTGAGCCTAAAATAAACAGATTTTTCTGTGATTTAATGTCAATAAACGGATCAAAATGATGCTGAAACAACGACATTGTGATGTTGATTTGTAAAAAATATTCAACGCAGTCTCTGTCGGGTCCGTCAGCGAGACGACAAGCTACCAACTCTTAAAACGCTTGTTTTTTGAATGGAGTTTGGTGTATTGGGGTTTTTCTACCATTCGGCACACCGGGCGTGAATTTGTGTCTTTGCATTGACTTTGTATTTAATCTACTCGTGTAAATAATTATATTCCCCTTTGGTGGAGCTGTCTGACCTTTTATTGCAGCCAGTGGAGCGCCCCCTGCTGGTCATTACATAGAATGCAGGTTAAAGACACTTCTGGAGACGAGTTTTGTAGTCGTGGAAATTGGTTAAAATCACCAAATATCCTGGAAATATTCTGTGTAAATGTGTCGATACTCGGCCTACTGGTGAATTATATGACTGTTTATGAGCAATAACTGTCCTGTACTGTCTTGTTAAAAACGATCAGCTGAACATGACTTTGTTGTTGATTTCCAGGATGAAGATCTGAAGTGGGTAGAAGAGAACATCCCTTCATCAATGGCAGACGTGTAAGTCATCATCAAAAAGAGTTTGATACGTATCAGAAATGATAATTAATTCATATTATTCAGGTTTGATGGTGAAAGTCTTCTTTATCTCACACACAGCGCCCTGCCGCCCCTGCTGGACTCTGATGAGGTCAGTTATCTGGTTTTCTCACTTCATCACTAAACAACTCACACTGAGTCTTTATGTGAACATTAAAACATCAGAAAGATCTGAGCAATAAATCAGAATGAATCAGTATAAGAGATATTAATCTTCTTTAATCTACAGGAAAAACACAAACCAGAATAAAACATTTCAATGTAGAGGAAAAGCAAATATTTATATAAAATATTTAGTATTTAATAAACATAAAAACACATTTTTTAATCAGATTTTTTTTTATTTACTGAGACAAACTATTAAAAAATCTCATAAAATCTTTATTATGATTTATATTCAGTGTGTATATTATTATATATTATAAGATTATTATTATTCCTACACATTTTTATATATTAGATTTGTACTATTTTTAGATATTATTAGATTTGTATTCTTTCTATATCTTATTACATATTATTAGATTTGTATTATTTTTTAGATATTATTAAGATTTGTTTTATTTCTAAATATTTTTATATTCTATTAGATTTGTATTATTTCTAAATATTTTTATGTATTATTAGATTAATATTTCTATATATTATTAGATTATTATTATTTCTATGAATTATATATTAGATTATTAATATTAATTTAATATACTATAATAAAACACTCACACCTGTATTTCCGGCTGCGACCTGCAGAGGGCGGCAGACAATCTGCAAAGAGCAGCTGTTGCCACGGTTACATCACCCTGTTGTTTATCCTCTTCTCCGTTGTCATGGCGAGCAGAACAATGTGACGGTGACGTGTGTGTGTATTTTAGAGACACCGCCGCCATTATTGATCATCTTCAGCCCAGAAATACAAAAAAAAAGACAAATATTGATTATTGATCAGATTTGAACCATAAATGTGGGTCAGGATCTGTTTTGTGTTTGTTGTTTTGTTTATCTCCTGTCGGATGTTTATTTGGAGCTTTTTTTCGAACCATTTTCCAGATTATTTACTCTTTGATCTCTGAGGGGCCGAAGCTCTTTAAGGGACCCGGCAATCAACAAAGTGCCTCTTATGTAAAATCAATTTCTTACGTAAGCTCCCGAATAAACTCTGATGTATTAAAATCCATAGAAAATATTAACGTCCTCTTATAGCCTCTCTGTGGGGAGTGAAGGAGGGAGGGAGTGAAGGAGGGAGGGAGGGAGGTGAACTGGTCGTAACTGAAGGTTGTCACACCGACGCCGTAATGAATCCGCCTTATTAGACGAGCAAATTAAGGGGAAATAATTGCCTCGACTGCCTCCTTCTCGCTCCTACTGGCAGATTATGTAATGCCCTCTTGTTATTCGGGAGGTAAATTAGGGAGAAATCTGCCCCTAACCTGCACATTATCCCCCCGTAATGATGAATTATGTAATTCATCACGATTAAAGGAGGGAATTAAAGGGATGCATCACGTCCCGCTCGCTGCGCTCGGTGTGTCTCTCTGCTGTCGGCATAAATCTCATTAACAGGTAAAATAGAACTAACAGAAAGAGAATAACTATTTGTATTATAAGTTTATAAAATGTTATGTTTAAATATGCAAATGAGGCTTTATTTAAGGGAAAAAATGCTGTTTTCATACAGAAAAGATGAATTTTCTCCATGTTTTTAGGAGTAAAATGTGATATAAATCAGGCTGTGAATGAAGCATGAGCAACCCGCTTTGCACAAACCTTCAGGCTACAGAGAGGAATAAAACTGGAAGGTTTGATGTATTTAAGAGCTGCTGAAGTGGAGATTTCTGCCTCAGAGTGCCAGAAAAAAACCTAATTTTGTGGCTTTAAAGATACGTATTGTAAACACTACAGGTGAATAGGGTAAACATTTTAACTACTATATATCAGCATGAAACTTCCCCAGCTGATTACTCACATTAAGACAATTAGTTTTTGTATTACAAGTTTTCTGAAATGTTACCTTTAAAACATGCAAATGAGGCTTTAATTAGAACTCAGAGCACCGATTCATCACTGATATTTTTTGGGGCGAGAGGATAAAATGAAGTTAATATTGTCTGGAAGAATCGCCTGTGGTTGCAATAAATAAATACTGTGGACTGGAACCAGGATCTGTTATAATAAAGGACTGTACTTATACTTTACTCTTTCTTTAAGAGGTTATCAATCTTTTAGTTTGAGCTCCTGTTCGTTGTACTTCTCTCCATCAATCTGCCTCAAACGGTGAATCCTTTCTGAAACCACGAGGCTCAGCTTTGTTTCCTACAGATCGGCAACTTGTTAGACAAATTGGCTTCTTCATGTCGACCGCGATCTCGTCCTCCGTTTGAGGTTTTCCGTCCGTCACGTCTGCAACAAAAGGAATCGTCTTAACAACGTCGGCCTCCTCGCGGAGACGACGGAGGGGATGGATGGGGGAGGATGGGAGGACGGTGATTAAAGATGGAGGGAGAGCAGAGGGGAAGAACATGAACAGTAGTAAACGTGTCAGGAAGCAGCAGCGTTGCCTGATGTGGAGCGTGGGCGGCAACCACGAGGGCACGACCACGCTCGAGTTTGAGTTTACAGCCAGAAGAGATTCAGAAAACACACATTTTACATAAAATCTTCTTTAATACAAATAATCAGACTAACATTTCCAGCAGAGTGCTGTTATTATTGGATTGTTATTATTTTAATGTGAATGTTAAAAGTTATAGAACTGTGATAAAAGTCATTATCTGTGAGATTACAGTAATTATTGCTGTTTACACTGATAACAACTGTATTTGGACAGTTTACCTTATACACTGATAAACAACATTTATTCAATGTTTCTGTTGTGAAAACTTCCATAATTATACAAAATATCTGTTAATTAACAAACAAATCCATATAAAGTTACACAACAAATACTTTTTACAGTATTAAACTTGAATTGAACAGTTTAATCTGTTAAATAAACTGTAAATATCTGCGAAAATATTTGTCGATTTTAATCTTTTTTTGTGAAAAAAAGGAAAATTTCTTTAAATAATACAAAATACGGATAAAATCTGTAAAATGAACGTGGAAAAACAGTCACTGAAGGTGCTATATACGACTTTCAGACCAAAACAAAACAAGTGCTACCGCCCACCAGACTCCATTCACTAAAACACAAATTTTACCTCCCAGATCATAAAACACATTTAATTCAAACTGGACGGAAACAAAACCTTCTTCGTTTGTCTTTCCACTGTTTCTGTTCTGGTTTGTTCAAAATAAACTTTTAATTCACAGAGTTAGATAAAAACGGGTTGCTATGGCTGCCATTTAACGTTAGCTAATCGTCGGGGGAAAAACGGCGCCCGACAAAAACACTAATCGTCGGGGGAAAAACGGCGCCCGACAAAAACACTCATTTTAAAACGTAACATCGTAACTTCATTCAAAGTGGACAGAAACAGATTTAAAAAAGCTTACGATGCGTTTTCTGTTGCAGGAAACCATGACGACCAAGTTCGAGATGTCCAAGATGGAGTGAAGCAGAAGTACGAAACGTGGAGCCGGACGAGCGTGATTGATAAATAATACAGATTTAATAACGGCGTGAAAGTTGGCGTGAGAGAGGAAGGTGGCGTGAGCGAGAAAGGATGGCTGAAAAGAGGAAGGGGGGCAGACGAACTGATGGATGGATGGAGGGAAGAGAGGAACGAGTGTCGGTATGTGATTCAATCCCTGAATTTATGAGCTTTGTAAGCCTTTGATTGTACATACACGGGGAGTAATATCGATCACAGCGGCACACGGATCCTTTTTATTTTTATTGCCTGTTTGTATTTATATTTCTATATATACAGTATATTTTGACAGATTTGATGTTAACGAAGCGGCTCGTTTTTTTGCCTTTTCACTGTTTACATGCAGAAATGTGATTTTTGGGGATTTTCGTCAGTTTTTTCGTGTTTTTTCACTGTTGCCTCGATGAGAGCTCCGCCCCCCCCACTCCCCTCGCCGTCACCGCTGTTCTGTTGGGGTTTTGTGTCTTTACATTGGCGGACTAACGCTACCTGTAGGTTTCATCTGGATCCTTTCAACCTGTAAAAAAAGAAACCAAAGTTGTGGCTGAATGAATTTCTGGATTATTTTCTTACAATTAAAACTCTTCACGTTGAGATTCGGATGTTTTGACTGATTAAAAATGACTTTATTTTGTTGTTTTACTTATTATTTAAGACATAAAGGGCCGTTGCTGCATCTGGCTAATTAAAATCTGTTAGAAATTCGATATTTTTTTAGACATTCGCAATCACCACTGAAGAATAAAACATCACTCTCCACCAGACTCCATAGAGAAAATTGGCAGTTTGGACTCTCAGATCATCGTAACTTCATTCAAAGTGGACAGAAACAAAATAAAACTCATTAAAAGCGTCTCTGTTAGTGTTTCCAACAATCACCAACTCTCGTTTGGTGGAAATAAATCCTTAATTCACCGACGTAGATGAGAAAATAGCTGCAAAACGTGCGACAGTGACACTAAAACATTGACAATATGCAATTTCTGAACTTCTATTTTTCTATCTTCATCATCACGGATTATTAATTATCGCTGTTACTGATTTACAATCTAATTAACTTGAATAAAGGAAGCAACATGCGTGTTATTCTTGCCATCACCAGCAAAGCATTTGTGGTGAAATATCATAAAACTTAGAAAAAACAAACTTCTTATCCCCTAAATTCCACCAGAAGCGTCCCTCCGTTCTGCTCTATTCGGGGCTATTTTTGATCGCACTGGCAGGAAGTTGAGACACAGTAACGGCACAGAGTCAATTTTCTAAATAAAATATCGTGTGCAGACTTTGTGTGGAACTTTGTGAAGTCAGCGCAGAAACGTTTCGTGAAGACGCTCTTGGTGGGATTACAAAGCCGTGCCCGGTGGAATTTGGGGGTTACGGGAGATTGTACATTGCACATTCATCTTATTATGTCACTGCAACAGAAGGATTTTGAAGCGGTTATTTTAAGGTAGAAAAGCTGCATAATGTTACTTTAAGTTAGCGTAAACAAAACTTATTCCCGCCGTTGTCTTTTTAGTGATTGTAGTTAAATTACGTGAGAAAGACGAAACCCCCAAATTCCACCGGGAACGGCCACGACACGCCACTCGTGTCAAGCGACACAGAGAGGAAGTCAGACACAGAGACGGCATAGAGAATCCGGTCAACTTTCAAAATAAAAGCGTGCAGCAGCTAGGTTTTTCCCTCTAGGATGTTGTGAGTTATTTTAGCGGATTGTTGAGATAATTGTAGCCCTTTTTAGGTGAAAATTGCAAAAAAAAACACAATATAATAGTTCATTAAAAATAGAAGGCAACTTTGAGTGAGAATAAAAGTGTTTTAGTAGTTTTATATGAAGGATCTGTTATGATTGGACAAAGTAGGACTTCCTGGATGGACTGTTTGTTTGCTGTATGTCCACTTACTTCATCCACTCAAACACTCACACATCCTGTCGCAGCCTCGTGTGTGTGCAGTGTTTCCTCTGACCGCAGCCATTATCGCTGCGTACAGCCGGCGGCCAGCTCCCTCGCTCTCTCTCTCGCTCTGTGAACATATAGACTTCCCTGTGTGTGTGTTAAGTGACAGTGACTCGTCCGTACAGACTAAACACTCTGTACATCATCGGGTTGAGCCACGGGGGGAAAAGTCCGCTCCCATCAGCCTGCAGCAGCTCGCTCGTTATCAAGATGTTTAAAGCCGAATATCTGCAGATTCTCTGTTTTCTCCCACAATGAAGCGGACCTAACACGTTTAGATAAGATGTGTCTGAGTTTCATATTTAAAATCCAGATAAATGTGTCACCTACAGACTATTAAATCCAAGTGTTACCCACAATCAGAGTCCAGATATCTGCTGGTGAAAGCACAAGTTTGTTTATTTGTTAAATTGAGATGAAAACTAAAAGTAATGACTTGCTTCTTCTTCGGGTTCTGGACGGAAACGTTGAGGCGCTGAAGTAATTACACTTAATTCAAAGCCTTTGTAATTACTTCTGATGTTAATTTTGTATCAATTTTTTGGGGAGAAACTCTTCGGTTTGATGCCTCCGCAGTGAAATGTGTCTCACATAGCAGGAAGAGCTTGATTATGTAAAGAGCTGTGCTTGTTTGGTTTGTAAATAAATCACAAGTTAATAATAAAAACTTGAATTATTTGCTTTATTTTTCTGGTCTCGTGTTTGTTTTCGTTTGTTTCCATTTTGGGAATTTGTGAAAAATGAACTGATAATTGTTGTGGAGCCTTAAAAACATATTTAGTGCCTTAAAGTGATACGTTTCTCCAGACTAAAAGCTCCAGTGTGTCACATTGAGGAGGATCTATTGTTTTATACACTAATGAAAACATTCCTATGAATATTATATCACATTTCTGTTAATAGATCCTCTGAAATGTTGAATTCTGGGCTGCTGTGTCGTCCCCAGAGGTCAGGAACAAGTCATCTGGCTGCAGGGTCTTCTCCTATCATGTCCCCTTCCTCTGGAATAACCTCCCTACCGACATCAGACTCCATTGAGGCCTTTAAATCCAAACTTAAAACTCATTTGTTCGCCTTAACTTTCAATTAGTGCTTCAGATTAGTTCTTTCCTCGCACAGGACACCATTATCCTCTCAGTGGGTCGGTCAGTCGCTATTAATCTCTTAACCCTTGCATTTATAGTCCGAGTTGGTTCTTCAGGCCAGAATAAAACTGTAAACTTTCTTTCTTGGTGAGACTTGAAGTCGTACAACGTCGATGATCATTTATATTAAAAAATGTCCAAATTCTCATATTTCAGCTTCTCTTATATGAATATTTTCTTTAGTCCTTTGACAGAAAACTGAATATGTTTGGGTTGTGGGACAAAAGGAGACATTTAAGGACGTCACGTCGCTCTTTGGGAGACGCTGATCAACATTTATCATCAATTTCTGACATTTTATGGACCAAACAACTAATTGATAATTAAAATAATAGTTACTGAGGTTTATTCCACTTTTGCCTGTTATTCCTACCTGAATCAAGGGTCCAAGGACAGAGGTTGTTGTACTCTCTTGAGGTATATTGTGATTTATGATTTAGGGCAATATAATTAAAGTGTGACTTGACTAAACAGAAATTAGGGATGTGTGCGATTACTCGACTAGTCGGTTGCTAATCTTTCTACTCGATACCAGAAATACTTGTCGGTTAAACTAATAATAATATTTTGTATTAAGAGTCCCCACTTTAGAAGTTATAGTCCAACATTTGGTTCCTGATGTGGGATTCTAGCAGCTGATTTCACTTTGTACCATCGAACCTCACACAGCTAATCTGTTAGTGATCGACTCTCCCGGAGAGAGGATGGTGGAGCTGGAGTTGAAAAGAAAATACACAGTCTGTTAAGTTAGGACGACATTAAGCACTGATCAGATTATAAAACAGCTGTCAGCCTCGCTGTATACACTGACTGACAGTTAGTGTAATGAATGCTGCAGCCTCTAGGGGCGCTAACAGGGGGTTTATAATAAGAAGAAGATTAACTTTATTAATACCCAAAGGGAGATGTATTGACTGTAATTTGAAATGTCCAAACCATTGTTTTGTCATCATGCAGTAACGTGGATGTAATGAGGAACATGAGTTTGTGTTTCACTGAGGATCTTTTTCATTGTGGCAGAAACTGAAGTGATTAAACTCTTTTCCAGACATTAAATATTATATTTTTAAATGAACATTTAAAAAAAAACACATTAAAGTACTTCCTGTAGTACTCCAAAGTACCTCTAGGGGCGCCGCTCGAGCTCAGTCATCATCTCTGTGCTCCAAATGTCTTTAAACTTGACCCCAAATCCTCCATTTTCAGACTCTAATTTGATCTAATGATAGCAGCTGCAGCCTCGATGTCAGTCTCACTCAGTTCGCTCCTCACGACGTTAAATCCACTAATGTAATTTAATCTAACCGTAAAGACAGAAGCTCGCCACACCGGCTCAGTATTACCATGTAGGTGTATGTTCTATATTTAGCAGCCGCTGTCTTTACGTTATAATCCTGACATGTAATCCATCTGCTCTGCCTCGCTCCATGTCTTTGACCTTAACTGTAACCCAATTAAAGACAAATCTAAAGACAACTCAGACGTTATCATCATCATCCTACTGTTTTTCCACAAACTGTATTCATTTACACTCAAACGCATCAAACCTGACACGATTATTACCTTCACTTTGTCCATTAAAACATCTTTTTAACCACAAAGCATCCGTTCCCCTGAGGTTTGTGTGTGTGTGTGTGTGTGTGTGTGTGTGAGGCTACTGTACTCTGGCATTACGGCTGTAATAACATAATCCCAGAGATTTGGCCCGACAGCAAGACAGTATGCTGCCGATTTCAACTGACAGTAGGGAATTATCATCACCGCGCACTTTACAGACGGCGAGACATGTGTTATTATCGCTGCTGTGAGTCTCAACATGTGGCCCGGGGACCCTCTGAAGGGACGCTGACGGCAGCAGGTTTTAAAGAGGAGTGACGTTAGGACGTTTATGTACTCTGTTACTGGGAGTTTCTGGCAGCTGTGGTTGCCAGAAAGTTGGTGTATTTCGATTTATAATAAAATACACCATAAAGTAAAATGTTATTTTTACGGTAAAAAAACGTCAGCTGTGTTTGCCAGAACTTTACCGTAATAAATATGGTGGAACTTTATCTACTATTACAGTAAATGGATATCAGTACTGTTAAATTGTTGAGTTTTATTCCATATTTTACCGTATAAATACAAGTTTTTACCATCAAAACCAATGAAAGAAACCATCAAAACCCCAATATGAATGTCGCACAATAGGCAATATAATAAAACTGCTTTATTCTGTGTAAATTCCTTTAAAATGCCGTATAAAATAAGGTTTTCAGGCTTTTACTGTCATAATTTGACGTTTTTTCACCGTAAAATCACTTTAATATGATTAAATTCTGTATTTGTGCAGCATTTTATTACATTTTACTGTAATGTATCCAGTTATATTAAAATTACTACTTATTACTACTAATAATTATATGTTATCAGTCACTAATAATGTCATATTACTATACAAGTATACTGTAAAATATTCCAGCTTTATAAAATAAATATATATAAACTACAGTGTTTTACTGTAATAAAGAAATGTGGTATTGTACAGAAGGTTTTCACAGTACTGTGCTTCTAAATCTACATTTTTACTTCTTTATATGTGTAAACTAACTATTACTTACACTTTATTTGTCTTTGTTTTAACGTCTTACTAAGTGAATTTATATTCTGAATATTGTACATGGAGAGAATAAACAATAAATTCCACCTTTAAACTTTGAATATACGCCAATAAACAGCGTCCACACTGTCTTCCTTTGTCACGCTCAGCTTTAGAAGCATTCATAAAGTTTTATGATACCAGAGAGAGTTTTTAGAGCTGTATTTTATTAAAAGTAGATCAGTGTTACTGTTGTACAAATGAAAAATGTCAGAGAGAGAAAATGTATTAATTCTCATTTCATTCCTTTTTCATAAAACACTCTTAACACTTCTAACATGTCCTCCTTTTATTCTTTTATTTAATTTATTCTGTTTTATTCTTGTATTTACTTATGTTGGCGTGTTTTTAATCGCTTTCACCGTCCTTATCTTTCATCGGCTGTAAAAACCTGACGACAAATCTTACTAAATGAAGTAAGTTAACATAAATGAATCCTCCAGAGAAACTGGAGTCACTTATTCACAGGAATTAAACTCAAAAATAAACTTTTGAAGCGACTTTTGAAGAACTTAAATATGTGCAGACTTATTTTTGTTTTTATAAGTTGACTTTATATCATTATAATAATGTAAAGCATTATAATATAGATCATGAGCCCAAATATTCATCCAAATAAAAGTGTCACATAAAACAACACAGATCATTAATCGGCTACTTTCTGATAATCAATTAATTATAAATTGTTTTTATTTTTATTGTTGTATGTCAGCTGTTTTTACAGGTAATGTAATAGTTTGCTTTAGTGGAAGAAAACTCATCTTAAGTGGTAACATTTGTATAAAGAAGATGTATTTAAGTGACTTTATTACATTTTAAATAAGTCTGGAAGAAATGCTGCATATGAGATTAACTTCAATTAACTTAATTTACTCAATTTATCTTCACAAGAAATACAATAAAGTTCCTTCTACTCAAATAAAACATCTTTAATGATTAAATTTTTTGAGTTAATAAACCTAAATGGCTTGTTTCCTCAAACTGTTTCTTTTTTTCTCGTATTTTCTCGTAATTTTGTCTGTTTTTATTCACAACTGAACTATAAAATTACACAAAAACACACGTGGTAATTACCACAAACTTAACAGTTTCTGTTCCTTTTCTCGAGGACTTTGGTTAAAGTTGCATAAACGTGTAATTAAATCCCAACAGAAACACCGACTGACGAGTTGTGAAGGCTTTGACAGCTGAAGGTCTGCGCCGTGTCTGACCTCCGTATGATCTCCCGCTGTGATTCAACATCTAACGTTTGTCTTGCTGGTTCCTTTGTTCGTTTTAAAGGTGTGTCAGCAGCTCACATTCGGATCTGCTTACGCTGTTCAGGACGCTTCCCCACCGAGAGCTCGACATGATCTCAATAACGGCGCTTTAATGCTTCGGGATCTGTTAGCTGCACATTCTTGTCCATAAAATGCAGAAACAGATGTAAATACCACCTGATAGATTCCCCTTTTACTTTAATGTTCCTGTTTGTGCTTAAAAACCAGCCAGCAGATGTCAAAAGTGGTCGTTTTTGATGCTTGTGAGGTGCTACTACCGTTAAAACTACTGAAGATGAGAAACAGTGTGAAGATGCTGCAGAGATTACACTCAACACCTTCCAGAAGAGAGACGAAGCCCACGCAGCAGATACGAGGACATTAAGCCTCCCAAAAAACAGATATAGGAGCTGAGATGGTGACGACAAAACTGTTCTTTTAATTTGAAAAATTTGTGAATTGTGAAGACGTGTGAAGAGAAACTGGAGACAGAAGCAGATGAACTCAAGCGTTTTCTGTATATTTACTGAAGTATATTTAAAGGTCCTCATAATGACATATTTTAAAGATATTTCATATTACCCAAACAGTGAACTCAGTTACTGCAGGAAGGCTGTTTAATACCAGAGATCTGGATTCATTTTGAGCAGATTGTTTCCTGTTTAGGGAACTTTTTTACACACTTCTCTGTCTGTATTATAGATTTTATGTCATTTTTAACAATCAAACAGACTTACTAAGCTTCTTTTTTGACAAATCAAGCCTACTGTGTATATTTTTAAATATCAAGAAGGCCTTGCAACGTCCCCGTGAAGCTTTGGCGACCCCTAGTGGAGGTCCCAACCCCCAGGTTCGGGTCCACTGAACTACAAGATTAAAATGCTCCTTCCTTACTCCTTATTAGCATATTAGTAGCAAGTTCAGTCTTTATTAGTCATTATAAAGCACTTATTAATGCATGTGGCCTCGCTGAAGGTGAAGATAACACTCATCGTTGTCTGTTTGTTGCTCCAGAACTCAGGACAATGTGTTAGATAATGTGAGGGAGGACGTCCGGCTACGACCGTGCACAGCTGGAATCTGGGACTCTAACTGAACGCCCGAAGACTCGCCGTCACACCTCACTCTCTGTTTGTTGCTGATAATGTGCGACTCTCAGGCGGGGATACGCCACGGGTCGGCGTTGACGGCAGGGTCACTGGTGTGAGAGGACGTCTGGAATCTGGGACTCTAACCTGAACCTCCCCACAAAGACGGGTACGGACGTTATTTAGGTTCTTAAGAAAGGGAAATCTTTAACAACCTACATAAATCCAGGTTTGTATCTGTCGTGTTGTGTTGGCGGGATAATGTGTGACCCATTATGGCCTTTACCCCTCTGTAAAACTCTATTTCCTGTTTAGGGAACCTTTTTATACAATTTTCTGTCTGTATTTTTTGGCATTTTTAGACTTAATAAGCTTCTTTTTTTGACAAATTCTATGTTTTCTTGTCTTTGCCGTTGGTTCTTTTAGACATTTTACTTTATATTTCTTCACAAAAGTGAATTAAATGCTAAGAAATAGACCTACTGTGTCAACATTTTTATGAACTATTTCAACATTTTCCTTTGAATAAAACAAGCTAAGTACATTTACTCAAGTACATTTAAAGGTCCTCATAGTGACATATTTTATGGATATTTCATATTATATTCAAACTGTACAATGAACCCGAACAGTGAACTCAGTAACTGCAGAGTGATATGGATGAACAGCTGAGCAGATTATTTCCTGTTTTAGGGAAAATTTTCTGTCTGTATTCTGTATTTTTTGTCATTTTTAGACTTAATAAGTTTCTTTTTGGACAAATTCAGTGTTTTCTTGTCTTTGGCGTTGGTCCTCTCAGACAATTTACTTCACATTTCTTCACAGAAGTGAACCAAATGCTGAGAAATAGACCGACTGTTTATATATTTATAGTTTTTTTTTATACAACTTTAAAACCAAGAAGGCCCTGCGACGCCCGTGAAGCTGAGTGAGGACCAGGACCTGCTAATCGCTGTGACCCAGAGAACCTTAGTGAATACATTCATACTGTAAAGCCACCTTGAGAGTGAGCTGTGACAGGCGTGTAAACGGCGTCCTGTTAGGGTCCTTTCACACTGCGACGGCGTTGGTGTGAAGGGCCGGCGGCGGCGGGGGGGCTGGCATATGGACGCCGGTCTACATGAAACAGCAGCCTGCTGCCAGATAATACATACAGATCTACTTTAATACAAAGAAAGCTCGTATTATTCCGCCCATTACGTAAAAGGATGAGATTATCAATACACAGATTAATGAGCATCCAATGGCGTTCCAGCACGCCGCCCTGCCCCCCCGCCACTGCCGCCGCCGCCGCCACCCGTCTGCACACACTTCAATCATCATCCAGATAAAAATAGAAAAACCCCACGATGACTTGCAGTTTAGTTGTTAGATTTTAGTCTTTATTGTACTATTTTTTTTTCTTGACAATTTGCTAGCGGACATGTGAAAACTTGGACCAACAAAACATCATCATCATCATCATCATCATCATTATTATTATTATTATTTTTTAATTACAGCATATCGTCAGACTGCGGTAACAGTGAGAAGATGTGTTTTTAGAAAACAAAACAAGAAATAAAATCCAAACCAAAAAAACAGGATAAAAGAAAAAAGAAAACATTTTGACTTTAATATTTTCGATGGTGTTTTTTGTTTGTTTGTTTTTTTTTTTTTGTAGTTTTTTTAAATTCATGTACACAATATAACAGTCTAAAAACATTAAACACACAGAGCTGAAGACATTGCAGTGTTGGTTGGGAAGTGGCAGTCCTCAGGGCAGTTTATATACGGTAGCAACATGGTCCTGCTGTACTGTCAAATATCTACTGGGGGGGGCGGATGGGGAGGGGGGGGGGCGACAGGAGGGGGTGTTGAAGGTGGAGGAGGGTGGAGGGGACTACAAAACAAAATGGCCGTCGATATAAAACTAACAGTCTTTTTTTTTCTTTTTTTTTATGTTCTTTTAAATCCACCAATCAGGAGTCGGCAGAGAGCGGAGTTAAAGTAGCTCGACGAGGAGGAAAACAGGACGGTGGAGGTGGGATGTCTCCATTTCTTTATTTTTTTTATTTTTTTTTTACATTTCTCCGTTTTTCTTTTCTCTCGTAGACAATATAAAATCTCACAGACAAGCAAAGGAACAAAATAAAAACACTGGATGGTTTTTTTTGTTTGTATGCATCGGACAGAGGGGTGGGGGGGGTGGAGGGATTGATTGATTGATTGATTGATGGATGGAAAAAGAAGGGCTTGAATTATTGCTTTCTGAGTGATTATTATTTTTCACTTCTCATCTACATGAATTGCATCTTTCTCATTCTTTCGCTCTCTCGCTCTCTCTCTTTCTCACCATGGTGATCTGTTAATTACTCTCAAAGGGGGGGAGGGAGGAAAGGAGGAGGGATGAAGGGAGAGAGGAGGAGGAAGGGAGGATAGGGAGGAGGAAGGAGGAGTTAGGGAGGGCTCAGAGCTCCTTGCTCAGCGAATCCCGGGCAGTTCTAATCCTCTTTGTGTGGCCTCACACGTTTCCCGCCTTTTTGTCTGGTAAATGATAACAGAAGAGATTGAAAAAATGTATTAAAAAATATATCTTTGAAATAATAATAATAATAAACAGTCATATAAAAAAAGGGTTAAATTATGTGTGTTTAGTGGTTTAGTACAGATGTGGGCCTCTCTAGTGTTGGGTTAGTTATTATTGTGTTAAAGGACGTACACAAACAACAACAACAGTTTCACAATAGAAATATGACGTCACATAATAATGGAGGATCATCGTCACACCAACAGGAAGTCTCTCTCTCTCTCTCTCTCTCTCTCTCTCTCTCTCTGCCTCGTCTTTCCCTTTCCGTCCTGCATTTGTGCCTCTTTTCTCTTCTTCCACTGTCCTTTTCTTTGTGCTCAGAGCTCAGAGGACGTTTTTTTTTTTTGTTTTTCCTGAAATCAAATAACCTGACGTCCGCTGGCGGCTACGCTCACGTCTTCCTGTTTGCTTCCCGACCGACCGACCCCCAAAGAGAGAGAGAGAGAGAGAGAGAGAGAGAGAGAGAGAGAGAGAGAGAGAGATGGCTAGTTAATCTGGCTCGTTGAAGAGGCTCGGTGACACTTTGATTTTGCCCACTAATCCGTTGATGGACTCAGCTTTATTGATGTCTGCTAAACCAGCTTTTCTCTTCCACAGCAAACACGGCCCTAACTAGCTAAGCTACGGCTAGTTAGGGCCGGCGGGCCAACGCGGCGCCGACGCCGGAGGAGTCGAGGATGGAGGCCGAAGCACGAAGAGTTTTTTATTATTTGGGTGCTTATTAACAGTTTTTCACTTTAACAATTGTTGAAATATTAGTTATTACTAGTTCATTTCAAAACGTAAGAGTTCGACTTAAAACTAAAAACAGTTGCCTCGAAGTTTTCTTAGTGTGAACTCGAACAGCATTTCTCTGATAACAAGTTAATCTCACAACATTTTCCTGAGATAATAATGAACTGATGTGGAAGACGTAAAGAACGATGATTAAAGGCTGAATTAGAGTCGTACGTCGGCATTATGAGCATTTACACGTGTGCGGTTGGTTTCTATGGCGCCGGACACGGAAACAATCCCTCGTCTCTGTTTTGTTCCTTTTTCAGGGTCAGAGTTAAAACGTGAAACCTCTTTCTGTAACGATGTTCAGTATCGGCTGGAAGACTTGTTGGCGTATTAAGAAGAACCAAATGTGCAAAAATAGAGCGCCTGTAACTCTACGTAACGGCCAGCAGGGGGCGGCTCCACTGGCTGCAATAAAACACCTAAAGTATCGAGTCTTATGGGGAAATGAGCCGACTTCTCAGTTGATTTATGAGCTCAGTAAACAGTTTAATCAACACAACAGTTTGTATTTCACTTGTGTAAGCGTGACCTGAAGCATCCTTTAGGTTTTATATACAGTTCCAATTAGATACATCGAAATATGACGCAGTAGGTATTTCTGGGATAGGTTGGCGCTGACGTACACGTCTCAGCTTTCTAGTCTTTCAAATTTATGCAATTCCAACAGTTTATGGACTCCAGTGTGCAGAAATATTCAAATAGACTCGTGGAGAAGAACACAATGGATGCATTGGCTAGTTATTTTGAAAGTCTTAACCCCAACGTTAAAGATTTATCACTGGTAACTTGACCACGGAGTCCTGCACATCCAGAAATTACATACGGACACCTACAGCGAGGGCGACTGACCGAGCTACAGTGTTTGACGGGTCGATGTGGAGATCTTCAGGTCCTCAGCGAGCCGAACGCAAGCTGTTAAACTGAGTTAAACCAAAAACCGCCACGGCGCTCTCCACAAACATCTGTCGGGCTGTGTGAGATCAAAGCGTGCCGGTCACCGGACTCCGAGCGGAGAAGATGGCAGGGAGCGATAAATAATGACAGAGGGAACAGAGCGGCCTTCTGGTTTCACCTCCACGATGCTCACAGCGTCTGGCGGCGGCGCCTCGGGTGGCAAACGGTACGAACGGGAGAAGTTTGCTGGGAAAGAAAAAGCTGCATCTCTCTCTCTGTGTGACATTTATGTTTCTATACAGGTTCATGAACAGTCGGCGTCCAACCGTAGCTGCCCTGGGAACCGGCACTCGCCACCTGAGTCCGTTATTGTTTAATGGTTTTGTTGTTCGGCTGTTCATGAACGCCGTAATGACATTACAATGGATGCTCTCTCTCTCTCTGTAAATAACACCTGTTGGTTATTTACTTGTGTACATAAACACTTATTTCACAGCTTTACTTTAAAGGGATTCAGGAATAACTGCATCATTATTATTATTATTGTTATTATTAATCATGCAATCCACCAGTGGAAGTTCTGCATATACAGCGGTTTTACTTGCGTGTGCAACTTCAGATATACAGTTCAACATTATTCAGTTTAAATCTTTGTGTTTGCGTTACGTACGGAGCTGGACGTGGTTAGCCTAGCTTAGCATAAAGTTTTCTAAAAGTTTTTCTTAAGAAGAAAAAGTAAATTATCGCAATAAAAATGTTTATTTAAACACTTAAAAGTTCAAGTTTGACTTAAAAAAAGGCACATTTATTGGATTTTATTGGGATGTAATGCGATAAGTTTCTTGATTGAGCAACTTAAACTAATAATAACAATAAACAGGTTCTCTACACAGATACATTAATTATATTAAGGGTATTATCACCTCACATAAGCTGCACAAGTCTAATAAAAACAACAATAATAATCATTTTAATAACGACCCCGACAACCTGTTTTACAGTTGCTGGTATGTGGCTAGCCGTTTCCCCTTTGCTTCCAGTCTTTATGCTAAGCTACGCTAACCAAGTCCAGCTCCGAACTCAACACACACACGAGACTCCGATCTTCTCGTCCAACTCTCGGTAAAGAAATACGTTCACAGAGCTTTGAACTGTTCCTTTAACGTGTGTTTGCGTGCGTATATGTTTGTGTGTATATATGTTTGTGTGTATATTTGTGCTCGCTGGTGTTAATGTGTGTGTGTGTTTACATTTGGCGCATTGTGTGTTTACCTGTGTGTTAATGTGTGTTTTTAAATGTGCGAGTGCGTCAAACGTCGGCGTCGTAACACCCGTTGACGCCGTTGTCGACGCACAGCTCCCTCTCTAATTGGTCAGCCGCTGCTGACATCACGTTCTGAACGATGGCCACCGCTGCGTCTCGGAGATCCCTCTTCCTCATCTCCTCCTCCTCATCCTCCTCCTCCCTCTCTCCCTCGTCACGTGACTCATCGTGAGAGCCTCCGTTTTGTGGAGACTCCGCCTCCCTCCCCTCCCCCTCCACCCTGCTAACGGCTAACGCTAGCTCAGGTTGTTTGCAGCTGGTTTGTTTACTGCTATCGTTTGTTTGTGCTGGTACTTGTTGTTGTTGTTGTTGTTGTTGTTGTCTGTTGTTAGTATCTCCTTCTTTGCTGCTGCTGCTGTTTTGTGCGTCATCAGAGTCCCGGTCGGCGTGCTCTAACTCACCGCTGTTCACAGCTGCCGTGGCGTTGATGATCTTGGCGTTGGCCTCCTCTTTCGCTCCCGCCTCCTTGGTCTTCTTCACGGGGCTGTCCCCCGTCGTCTTCTCCTCCTCCTGGTGATTGTGTGTGGCGTGCTCCTCCGCCGTGCCGTTGGAGCAGCCGTTCTCCCCGTTGGTCACCGGAGCGTCGGCCGGTGTCTTCTCCGCCTCCTTCTCTGCCTCCTTCGCCACCTCCTTCACCGCCTCCTTCACCGCCTCCCCTCCGCTCTCCACCGCCTCCGTCTTCTCAGCCGCTGCGTCTTTATCGTTGGTCTCCTCGGCCGCCGTGGCAGCTTCACCGTCGGCGCCTCCTTCTTCCACCGCCTCTGCTCCCTCCGTGACCTCCTCCTCCTTGGCGCCCTCGCCGAGGTCCACGCTGGTGGACTTGCCCTTCCGCATGATGAAGTTCTTCAGGGACACGGCGCGGCCGAAGTGCGAGCGCTTGGCCTTGACGGACTTGCCCTCCTCCGCTGCTCCCTCCTCACCTGCAGGGAAGAGGAGAGTTTCTTTATGAATGAGATTTTCTTTGAAACAGCAGCTCCTCCTGCAGAGTGATTGATTACAAAGGATTCAGATTAATATATTAATAGGTAGCTTCGTGATGTTTTACAGGCAGATCATATTTTGGGCGATATAGGAGAAGTTTTGAGGGTTAGTGAGGATGCTGGATCCATTTTCATAATACAAAGTGGCTGTTTAAACCAGAAATAGCCGTATTTAAACTCCCAGTGGATGAGTATCTGTGCATTTATTCTCCACCGTCATATCACAGGTTTCTTTAACTGAAATAGATTTAACAGCACACGGAGCAACATTGAGTTAATCTGTGACCTCCTGGTTCGTTTAATATTTACTTTTAACCCCATTTCTATATCCCAGGTAAATTAAATTAATATTACAATGGAAAAAATACAATTTCAAATGCAACAACTCTGCATTTTTAATCTACTTTGAAGCGACTCTGGTGGATAATCACCATCTAATTTGTATTTCTGCCTATTTTCTCGTCACATTCTCTGATCTGAAGATGACACAAGAAGAATTTAGGTGAAAATCTCTGTATTTATACTCTTTTCTACACAAAATACAAAGAGCCCAGGGTTCCTGTACTCCCGTACTGTATGCAGCCAGGGGCAGAGAGTAAGCTAAATTTAGCCTTTACTGTTGACTGAAGCTACAGTGTGATTTGAATTTCACATCAGATGTTGAATATTTTATTTGGGACAATGTTCAATTACATTACCTCCCCCGGAGTTAGCAAGCCGCTAACTCCTGGCTGTGCTCCCCGGACAGCGGCCGACACGAAACGAGTGCAAACACGCTGCCTGCATTTTTTAATGGTGTCAATGTTGAACTGAATAAAAACCCTATTAGACTGTGTGTAAGGTTAAAGTAAGTGAGTGTAACATTGAGGAGGATCTACTGTCAGAATATTCACAGGTATGTTTTCGTTTCGTTGTTCAATCACCTGAATATAAGAATGTTTTTGTTCCTTTAGAATGAGACGTTTCTATCCTCTTCTGGCGGAGTCCGCCATGTTTCTACAGTCCACTGGCTCCAGATAGGGAGTTGCCATTAAATCTTACACACTGGTTCTTTAAAACAGCTTCTGCCTGACCACCTCAGTTCGGTGTCACATTTAACACATTTATTTAGATTAATTCTTAAAACCAAGTTTAATTTAATAATCTGTTACAACGACATTTAAGACTCAGTGAGCAGCTTAAAGTCAATAAAATAAGACGTGTATTTGATTTCTGATGCCACTTTTAGATGTTTCCGGTTCAGATATCTTCATTTGTGAGGTTTTCTAAGCAAATATTGATGTATGAATATTTCTTTAGATCCCTGATTGATTCCCAACGGAGGGTCGGACTCTGATGAAGGACAGAAGATTCTGCTACACGATGTGTTTTCATCTTGAGGACTTTTCTCTGCGACAATAACTCAAACTCGTCTGAGGGTTCAGTTTCTTTCTCACCTGAGGTGGCGGCTGCGGACGCGTCCTCCTCCCCGCCGGCGGCGCACTCTGTGTTGGCGCGTTTGGACTTGGGGATGACGCGCTTCTTGAAGGAGGTCCAGATCTCGTTGGCATGTTGCGTCACCGTCCCGCCTCCCGCCGTCGCCGCCTTCTCTTCCTTCTCCTCCTCCCCTCCCTCAGCCTTCTCCTCCCCGCCCTCCGTCTTCGCCTCCTCTGCTCCGCCCTCCGCCTTCGCCTCCTCTTCTCCCTCGGCTCCTTCCGCCGCCGCCTCCTCTGGCTTGGCGTTGTCGGCAGAGTCTTTGTCGGAGCCCTTGGCCTTGCCGCTGATGCCGACCATGGATGGGTCCCTCTTCAGGCCCTGGAAGGTCCAGGAGCGTTTCAGCTTCCACCTCTTCTGCCCCGACTCCTTTGAGTCCAGCGTGGAGGAGTCTCCGCCGCCTCCTTCTCCGTCCGTTCCTTCCTCCTTGCCATCCTCTCCGCCTACGCTCTTCTTGTGCGCCTTCTGAGCCATGAGCTTCTTGAAGGAGTGCCAGCGCTTCATGTGCTTGGTGGCTGCCGAAGAGGACGAGGCTTTTTGTTCTTCCTCTGCACTTCCCTCTGCGCCTCCTGCTGCTCCTCCCTCCTCCACGGTGGAGTCTGCGGTGGTGTTAAGTGCTTCGGGATCTTCCAGCCGGTCCAGGGACATGGACCGAACCTTTACTTGTTTCTGGGGTTCTGCGGCGGCGCCGTCTTTCTTCTCGGTGCTGCGATGGGAGAAGATCCTCGCCACCGGCTTCCTGATCAGATCTCGAACTGTGGATTTAGCCTCCGCCGGTTTGCCCTTCTCCTTCTTCTCCTCCTCCTTCTCCCCATTTTCTGGAGCTTTCTCTATCGCTGCTTCTCCTTCTGCACCTCCCTCTGCTCCTCCCTCAGCTGCTGCGGCCTCCTCACCTCCCTTCTCTCCCTCTTTCTCCCCTCCTTCAGCTGCGGCCTCCTCTCCTCCGGCGGCCGTGCTCTGCTCCTTCTTCTTCCTTCCTCCCATCACCTTCCCCAGCCCGCTCTTGTTGAGGAAGGAGTCCAAGAACGAGGTCTTGTGCTCAGTGGAGGAAGCGTTTTCCGAGCTCTGAGGAGGTACCTCCTCCCCGCTCGCCGCTGCTTCTCCCTCCTCATCTCCTGCTGCCGCCGCCGCTGTATCGTTATTCACAGTCTCTATATTATCGACAACCTCGCTGTTGACAGCAGTGCCATCTTTATCGACAACTTCGCTGTTGACAGTCTCTGAGTTTGCGTTGTTAGCCGGTTGCTCCGCCTCCGTCGGCTTGCTCTCGGGGGTTTTCCCATCTTCCTGGACCACCGGCGCCGCGTTGGCCTCCGTCGCCGCCATTACGGAAAGGGAAAACAATCAACAACAACAAAAAAAGTGTGTTCCTTCCTTCCTTCCTTCCCTGGCCTTCTGCCCTCCTCTTCCTCTCTCTCTCTGGTGTTTCGTTCCTCCCGCTGTGGTGGCGCTCTCAGGTCATGGAGAGCAGGGTGGAGAACAGTTGCGAGGAGGAAAGATACTCAGCATCCTACTAGTCCTCCAAACTCCTGCAGAGAGCGAAAGGAGAGATGGTGAGGAAGGAGGGATGAGGAGAGAGGAAGAGGCACAGATGGTTAATAGTCTGAATCAACACCATAGACACTCAATTAGTCTGGTCTAGACTGTGCATTGAATGGGGAATGAAGTGTAACAAAATAGAGAATCTCAGCGGGAAATGCAATGCAATTATGAGGTTTCCTAATCAGTCACACTTCCAAAATTCACACCCTGCGTGATTTGATGTGGGACGCACACACACACACACACACACACACACAGACACGCACACACACACACACAGCTTTATTTTTCAATGCCAAGGCTAAGATGCAATACTTGCACCAGACAGCAGCAATAAAAAAAGGTCTCGGCTCCTAAGAGCTGAATGCTTATTCTGTTTGAGAGTTTGCAGCTTTACTTTGATCGGCCCCGAACAGCAGATGATTCCTTTCAACGGGCCCTCGACTTGGTGGTTGTCTGGATATTTTAAACCGTTTCTCTATTTTCGACCCGTCATTTAAGCTACGTGAGGCTGAAATCCACATCGAGACGCATCCAGCACATATTAAAAAGTACTCAAGGGATTCAGTATCGCATGTGACGTCCATAAAGTTGATTCATTAAAAACAGAACTTGAGATAGCCTGACTTTTTAATCCCCACATGAAATAGTAGGGTAAAACACAGTAGGTGTTACCAGGGATAAGGCTCTGTTCCATTTAGTGTAGCGCAGCCTTTCCAGCAGCACCCTGACTCTGACTGACCTGAATGGAAACTTAATTAGTATCACTGGTGTTTTACCCTACTATCTCGTGTCAAAATGGCTGCTGTGAAAAAGGTCTAAAGCTCTAAAAACTCTGGATCCTACATTTCCAATGATGCCAGTTTATCAAACGAGCACCTTCGACGCTCCGGGATTTTGGTTTAATATCAATAAACGTCTCAATGGTGGTATCATGACATCACTGTGACATCATCAGGGTTAATTTCCCAGACTTGACGAAGGCTGACGAGCGAACTTGGTGGAGTTGCCCCTCAAACACGGCATCAAACTGTACTTTTATAACGTCTTTCGACCACTCAGAAGTGCTTAACGCTGCACTTTCAGCCTTTCACACACATTCGCACACTGAAAGGCCCCGAGAGGGTAAAACAACCGAACTCCCGATAAGTGGACGCCCCTGTGTTTTGGTGACATTTACTTTAGGCATTTTCTACACTTCACTAAATGCCAAAAAGCCAGACACCAGTTTAAAATGATTTTTTTGGTGAAGGAAATGAGCTTAAAAGCAAACGTTCCCAAACTTTGACATGCCGAGGCCCTTAAATAAGTTACGGCCAAGTGTCTTTAAAAACCCACTAACAGTATACATTATATGATTTAAATATGTTATATATTCTTACGCATTATATTTTATAGTAATACACATAATAATAGGATGATAATTCGTTTATATTACATTTATTATGTGTTTTTTTCAGCATTATCTCCCCTTTAAAGGGCCAGTGTGTAGATTTTAGCTATAAAAAACAAAACTATTCTTTATATGAGCAGCACTTAAATTACAGCCCATAATTCACCTATATTCTGTTTTTTATTGTCATTAAACTGTATTAAAAGAGCAAACGTGTTCAGTACTCTCTGACTTTCTGTAGTTTTTATCAAACATGAGGAGAGAACACGTTTGTTGGGGACTATTTTCAGCAGCGGATGAATCCACATTTGTTGTATGTGGGATTAAACTGCAGTGTGTAGAGGAAGAGGACATATCAGGCTCTGGATACACAGACAAAAACATGTAACTAGTTGTTGTCTTTATGGGATTTTTAAAGAACTTCTCCTTTAAAAGCTGCTCGGTTGTGACACCTTTTTTTTAAACAGAATTTTAATGAATGAATCAGCAGATCAATGAATCAGTGAGTCACGCTGATGTGGAGTAACCGACTTTCAGCTGTGTGAAACTGTGCAACCGAGTCCAGACGTTTCTCACAGGAGAGAGAGAGAGAGGGGGAGAGAAAACAGAAGAGTGAGTCAGACTGAAGGAGGCACTCAGGTGGAGAAACAGTCACACGGGGGGAGACGGAGGAGGCGAGCGAGGGAGTGAGACAGACAGAGAGAGACAGACAGAGAGAACGAGGTGTAAACACGTACATCACATGCTCCAGATAATCTCACTCTGCTGTTGCCACAACTGGACGGCTGCCTGCGTAGCTCGCTCCCATTATTATCGCCCGACAAGCTAGATGATTGATTTACTGATTGATTAACTGATTGATTAACTGATTGATACACTGACTGACTAGAGTTTGTTCAAGCGCCAACCTGCAGTTCCTCTAACGGCCACTAGAGGCTCCAGCAGTGAGTCAGTCTCCATAAGGCTCCGTATTAAAATGTCCAACAACAGCAGAAATAAACACGTTTTAACCCGTTCATGACAACTTTACAACGCCTTAAATTATATTAAAGATTAAAGTTGTGTATGATTTGTTGTTTTCAGTAACCAGGCTTCATTCACTTCGATTAGCCGCGAGCTGGCGGAGTCAGGATGCTGAGATGGTGACGGCCAGAGTCGACCACACTGAGCTTCACAACGGCTCTACAGAAACCTACAGAGGACGTCACAGAGAGTACGGCCATTTTTAATTATATATGACAGTAGTTCCCATCCTTTTTCCTTCAAATACTCCTCCTCTTTCATTTAGTTAACTGACTCAGTGACGTATTTTATGGATTTTTTTATATTATATTAAAAACTGTACAATGAACCCAAACACTGGAAGTGTAAAACCAGAGATTTGGATGAATTGTGAGCAGATTATTTCCTGTTTAGGAAACTTTTTATACAATTCTCTGTCTGCTTTATGTATTTTTTATCATTTTTAACAATCATACAGACTTAATTAGCTTCTTTTTATGATAAATTCAGTGTTTCTTCTCTCTAATATCAGCCGCTGTTCTATCAGTTTACATTTACTTTCCTTCACAGACGTGAACCAAATGCTGAGATATAAAGTTTTTCTAGCACGCCTTAAAATCAAGAATTCCTCACAACTCCCAGTGAAGCTTTCCCCTATTGGAGGCCCCTGACCCCCGGGTTGGGAACCACTGATGTACGGTGGATAATAAACCTGGCACAGCAGGGTTGCCAACACAGAGTGCTCTAGGAATAAAACAAAGAGCTGTTGGTCAAAGAAGTTGGAGCTCAACTTTAAAGCAATAAAACTTGATCCAGCAATGCGTCAGGTTCTGTAGCAGTTGATCTCCCATAATAACCAGTAGTTTAATCACAAATAGAGCATTCATCAGTGTAATAAGTGTTATTTCTCTCTGTATTGATCACTTGCTTTCTAACCTGATGCATCCTCCCACTAGTGGAGCTCTAAACCTCCGACCTGACGAGCTCTCTAACCCCTCTGCTGCACGCGTGGCCTCCGTCCTCCGTCCTCATCTCTTGTTTACTACTGTGAGCTTAACTTGCTGGTAGCCTGTTAGCGCTGACGCACAGCTCATTTACTCTGCCTGCTAGTAGTAGCCCAAGGATAGAAACAGATACCTCCACCTAGCACACACAAACAGCCACACACTCCGTCAGGCAGCGTTAGACTCACTGTGTTGTTCAGCAGCTGCGAGGAACGGTAGCTAACACTGTGCACGCCGTTTACCTTCGCTTATCTGCAGCGTGCACCGTTACAGTTCGTGTTTGCAGTCGCAGCAGCTTTCATTTGTTTAGCGTTTGACTGTTTGGAAAGTCACATTAGCCGGAGAGCTGGATGGGGAGATTGTGAAGCTCTCGGGTTAATATTCTGCTGATCAATAATTCAGCATCTGATGGCCGAATTCATCAAAATACTTCACATGCAAAAGTTAAAATCTCCTCCGCTCTGCTCGAATGTGTCTGCACGACCTGGAAGAATCTTAAAATATCTTAAATTACCTAATTTTTACTGGAAGTTTTGACATTTCCAGCTGTCTGCATGAAAGAATGTGATTCTGATTCAGCTAACGTCACCGCTGTAGGGAGTTAATCACCGCTTTGTTTGTTTTGACTTCGCTTTCAGAACATTTTTCCATCTCATATAAAAATGTTTTACATGTGTAAATGTTTTGTTCTTTTATTGGTGCAAAAGCTAAATTTGTTTAGTGAAAATAAAATGTCACATGTGAACTGGACGTTATGAAATTCATGAATTTCCACATTTTCACATGTAAATCTGTAAAAACTTTGCTCTGGTTGTCATTGGGTGTCGTGACACGTCAACTAAAACATTCAAATATTAAAATAAAGTCTCGTGAAGTGGACATTTCAACACGTGGAATAGATTTTGGCACATTAAATGTAAAATTTAGAGAGTATTCATCGAAAGAAGAGCAAAGAACAACACCGAAGGCTTTTCTCGATGGAAAAGACGTTCTCGCTCTTCGCCCGACTGACTTTAGTGAAGAGTTTTGACTACGTTACACACTTTATGATCTGATTGGTTGAAGATCTTTGAAAGGTCTTGTCTGAGAACTTCTTTGTGGTGCATTCAGGTGGCACAAGAAGCAACGTACTCGTCTCTCAAATGAAGAATAAAACTCGTCAGCGTTGCAGCTTTAAGCCGCCATTATCGTGTTGATGAAATGTGAGTTTGTGTTGGATTCTTCCCGACTCGTTTGAGGCACGTTCAGCCACACGAGACCGAGCTCCACCGTCTTTGTTTCTCTTTATTTGGGGTTTTTTTTTTTTATTTCCTCCCTCGTGGTGGGTGATTACACCGCAGCAGCAGCAGCAGAGGAGCATTAGTGTGTTGGATGGTGGATGTGAGGCTGAAGCCCCGAGGTGTTGGAACAGCATCAGACGGAGAAGGACGACAAAATGGAGGGAGGGGAGGAAGAAGAGGAGGAGGAGGAGGAGGGGTGCAGGATGGGAGGAAGAGGAGGAGTGGTGCAGACATGGGCTGATTGCGAATCGTCTCTCTAGTCTCCATCCGTCTGTCTCTGCCTCTCGTTCTTCACCTCCGTCCATCCA